CTGCATTTTGCTTGCTTTGAACTTGAAACCATAAATATTAATAACTTGGCAAACTTGCTCAAAGTGTTTACAGATGGCAGTGGTTCTTTTTATAAACCCAAACTCGGCAATTTCCAAAGGGATAAGTTATACATTTACAGTGTCCAATCTCAAAATGCCTTCACTGAAAGGGTGCTGATGCTCCTAAGGAAGAATTCAGACAGGAGGAGGAGCTTCCCAGTCTCTACATCTGCTTGTGAGGAGGAGATGCACAAACCCCCTCTGCACAACGATCCTACACGTTGAGCTGAGCAGTCAAGAATGAAGCGAGTAGGAGCTGATTTGGCTGCCTAAATGGTTTGGCTTCTACACGCTGCGTGGATAGTAATTTTAATGGCAGTTTGAGAAAGGCATCAGTCTACTGCATAATTCTGCTGCATTTCATGCCGCCTACTCTTTATCTCTGCAAGAAGACTCTGTTTAACAGCGTTTGAAGAAGTGCAGAATTGTTCTTGAATGCTTTTAATATCCATGTATTAAATTTTCCTAAACAAAATCAGATTTCACGTCCTGGACAGGCCCTAACTTGTTCTACTTGTTCTACCAGGGGGACTGGCAGCACTGGGATTTGCTCTAGATCATGCTTGCAGAATGCAAGGATTAGGGAAAAGACAACTTCTTCTGATTTTCAAGAGTTCATCTGAATTTATACACTAACAATACAATTATAGTAAATGAAATACAGCACATATCACCTAAGCCTGCTCACTTTAGGATGTTCTTTCTTTCTTCTCACATCCCCACTTATTAATTAAGTTCCTACTCTATGCTGGCTTCACATTTGTTACTAGGGAGGCTCTGCCACTTAGAAAAGACTATGGCTCTTCTGGAGTCTTTACTTAGCATAACAAAGTCAACAGTAGAAAAATAAGATTTTTTACAATTATCAAGGCGTCATTTGTTTTGTCTTAAAATAGTCAGCCTATCTTCAAATTTCTTAGAAAAGAAACAAAACTTGAAAACTTAGATGTCAATTATTTCAGAAATTCATTTCTACCTCACTTTTACAACATCCAGTTAGTTATGACTTAATGAAAGAATTGCATCTTTCGAAGACTTAACTTTCCTTATCAGTAAAGAACCTTTGAGTAGACTCGAAGTTTCTAAGATTTAGATGTTAGTACAGTAGTGTTAAAACAGTAAAACTGAATGTACGCATCTACTTACATTCAAAATAAGAATTTGAGATTGTAAGCAGTATTAACATACGGGATATTGTTCTCAGATCGGCAGAAAACATTTCCATTATAAAAAATTCTCTGATAATGGAAAGCAATCTATGAAAGACTGCAAGATAAAATTCAAAAGCAATTGCATTGATAGGATTTAAAACCTTTGATTTTGATAAATTGACACATAAAGGTTTGCAGCCTTTATGAAATGTGCAAGGCAACTGGTTTAGTGCAGTATGTACTTTGGATAAGATCCTAATTTTACTGTAGGAAAATTTGTTTACTGTAGAAAAATATGAAAGGCCCATTTTCTTCCACAGAGCAAAATTATTGTTGGAAATAATTTCAGTAATACAACTAAAGTATTTTGTTTTAAATAATTCAATTAAATGACTACACAAAATAACTTATTGGAAAGGAAAGGAGTTCTGATAGTTGCTGGAATCTGTCTATTATTGCTTTGACATTTTCTAACATAGAAAAAGATGGCAAGAATGAGACAAATAAAAGCATCAACATGCACCAGAATCTATATCCCCATTATTTGTCAAGTGTCATTTACTGCTATGGAGACACTACTTCATGTTATGATACACACCTTGAGAAGGAATGTTTGCTGCACATGAAAAATATCACCAGGGCAAGAAATTGCTGCTCGCACAGGTGTCAGTTTTGCAGACAGCTGTGCACAGCATATCAATAATCTGCTCCTAATACGAAATCAATTCTAATGCAGGTATCAAACTCCCACCTACTTTAATGTTTAGTACTAAATGTTCTATTAAGATGTCTAATAGTAACTGCTGCAAGCAGTTTCACTGAGCAAAGCTTTTAGCAAGAATTTTATTTTAGGTCTGTATGAGCTGAGAAAATAAATAAGTCTCACTGCAGCAGAACCTCTCAGGGAAGGTGAGGTACAAGACTGGAATCTCCCAGAGGAAATTGCAACCACCCTAAACTGCACTGATGCTGACCAAAGGGATGGATTATTCCTGGACCTCCGCCCCATATCTGCATCACCAATCTTGACTTCTTCCTAAAATAGGCACAGAAGCTAATGGCCATGTTCCCTTCCTCAGGGTCTTCTGGAGTTCTTGGGCCAACTCTCTTTTTAAAAATTCCAACTGACGCTTGAAGAGTTCTCTTTTGTAAAAATATTCCATGCCTAGAGACCCATCTAAAACGTGGCTTTCTCACACATTACAGAATTATTAGAGTTGGATGAAATTTCAGGACATTATACTGTCCAACCTGCTGCTCAAAGTATGATAAATACTGAATTCAGACTTATTCACTCTGTAATCCACTAAAAAGTGATTCTAGTTCCTCTTTTCATGCCTTAATTTCTTCATGCCTCTCTCTGTGCTAGTTCTTCTTCCATCAAGAGAGAATCCAGGAAGAGAAAATGCAAACTGCTAATATAGGAGAAATTTTTTCAGTTTACCAATAAAATAGCAGGAAAAGGGGAGAAATTATATAATTTGTGAATATTTATAACAATGTGGCAAGATTACTTTCTAGGGGCTACTAATCAAAAAATGTCATCATGGTCTGTGAAAAACTGCTGTCATAGATCAAGAACTAGGTAAAAGGATTGTGAACAGGCAAAACACAATGATTTTGAAACCTAATGGTGAAACGTAATGGTTTCATCTGAAACAGGGCAGCAAAGGATTAGATGAGCATTCCAGTATGAGCAAGAAAAAGAAATGGAGAGCCAGTTATCAAAGGAAAGAATGAGAGGCCTCAAGTTAGATATGCTGATCTCAAAGTTCTGCTCTCTTTGTTATTAAAAATGAAGAGGGAAACCTCTCAATCAATGAAATGAAATCAGCATCTTTATAAAATCTTTATAAAGAAACAGTAAGAAGCAAAAGAATACAGAAATGGCTTGCTGCCCTAGGATGGCTGTTGAAATCAAGGATTTTGCTTGATGCAGTCTAAAGAAACATACTATTGCACAGCTAATAGCTCTACTCCGAGTTGTAGGGTAATTTAAATATCAGCTTACATTTAAAATCATTTTATCCATGGTATGAATTCCAAACTATGTACACACACCCCTCAACTCAAAAAAACAACCTAAAATCACCCCCCAAAAAATGCCCAAGCCACACAAATGGTTAGAAAGGGAACAGACTGCTCAGAATATAATAAATGCAGAATGTTGGGGGTTTTTTGCACCTTGTCCTGATGTCTGGGATGGCGATCGCTAATCAGAGTCAGATTACCAGCCTCTCTTGGTTAGTAAGGCACTACTTGTTGACTACTGAGTTCTGAATGCTGGTACAGAGTCTAAATATTTGCCACAGGTCACATCTGAGGATGTTGTGTCACTGAATGAGCTATTGCTTGGAAACTAATTCCTTGCAGGCAGGCAAGCATCTGTGTTACATAAGTCACACCATTATGAAGTTCTCACCCAGATATAAAGGACAAAATAGCATGGCGTCTGAACTGTATTTTTAAATTAAATAACGAAACTTGAATAATTTAAACCCAGTATTTTCAAATATAACTATTCAAAGATATTAATTATAAAATTTGCTTGAGGCTTTTGAACTCAAAAATACATGCAAAAAAGATACCCCTTAAATTAAAAGTTTATAGTTGTCTTCATAGGTACCTGGCATTTAAATACACAAACTCATAATTTCTGAGCAAAAATACTCTGCTGTGAGATTTTTAGGTTTCATTTTTAGGGGTTTTTGTGTGTGTGTTCCTTATGCCATGGCTGGTGCTTTTAGGTGCTGCTCTGTTATAGAGAAGAATTCTCCTATTCATCACTTTCTAGTCTTCTAATTTAGGAATTTATTATGTAGGCAGGGAACAAAAATCAATAACACCTGACCCAAATGAACCAGATATTATGCACAGTAAATCGCTGAAGTGAGCATTTTTCTATAACTTAAAGATTAAACTTTGAACATAAGTTTTAAAATGCTCATCCAAGGCAGTCATGATTACTTATGAATATTGGATGCATCTGAAGAAAACAGGTCTGGTTGCAAAGCAATTTTTCACAGAAATAAAGATTGTTAAATTTGTTAGATAATGCAGCCTACCGGAGAAATCTTTCCAGTTCTCCTGTCAGCTGTAAAAAATATTTGGGCCAAAATTGGCTGATTCACTGAGCTGGATGGTGCAGTCTTGTGACACTGCCATCTGTGTCACACTTACTCTATCACACAAAAACGACCAATTCAGCACCTTTCAGGAACACTGAATGAACTCAAAACAGACGGGATGTTGTCTTGTCCAAGCCCTCCTCCTCCTCAACTTCTTCACTCTTGAGAACTTATTTCTGCATGTTTTATATTTATGACTAGCACCTTGTTCTTGCCAAACCTCTGACCTACATTCACCATCGCTTCGGGTTATGGCCAGAAAGTATATGCCAACAAACAGAAGAGATTCACCACACAATAAACAAATCTACAGAATGCAAAGCTTATACGTTGCATCTTCAATTGTCATTTTATGTTTCTACTGCCCAAAAAAAACAAGAGAGCTGGCTAAAAAGTTTTATGCTTCATAAACACGGGTAGAATAGAAAAACACATAAGTTCTTAATTAATCAGCCAACTCTAACAAAGACATTATCAAATAAACCTGTAAATGTTGATGGATTTTAGAAATAGATTTCTCTGAGGTGCTGTAAAATAGTGCCAGAACCATAAATGTTCGCAAGCAAAACATAATCTGTTGGAAGACCATAAAGCCGTAACGCGACAATTTTCAACAGGATTACGGATTTGACAAAAACCACCCTGATAAATACTTACTTACCATAGTCATTATCGTAAAAAATAATGAATTTCTGCCAGGCGTATTCTGTGACCACCCTGAGGATGACATCATTTAGGTAGACGGGGGGCCGCACGGAGAGCGTGTAGTCATCGTTGCGGTTGCTCCTGGTGAGCCCACAGCCGCTCCTCGGCGTTCCTGCCGGGGCGCGCTGGATGAAGAGGTGAGGGATGTGCATGGCATCGGCCAGAGACTGCAGGGATCCTGCTGACGTGCACCCAATGGAGCTGACAAGGGCCAGGATGCCTTGGTTCATCAGGTCACAGGCTGTAAGAAAACAAAGAGACGTGGGGAGTGAGAGAGGTTCAGCGCACACAGCCTGTTTTGCTGCTGAAATACACTGGGAGCTGAAACACAGCAATCCAATCAAGGAAATATGGGTACATTTTTTATATTGAGTAATCCAGATCTAAAATTCATCAAAATCACAAAGCCAGTCTATTCCCTTTGAGGTTTCTTGTGGTCTAAGCTTGAAGATTGTCATGTCCATCCCTTCTCAAAAACACTAAGAACTGATTTTGGCTATGGAATTAACATGACCACCCAAGGAGATAAGCACTCTTCAAAGTCTAGCACAACAGCTCGATGAATAATAGCATCTTTGCATTATACAGGGAAAACTTGTAATAACAGCTCAGGCTTGCTGTCAACTTTTGAAGACAACTGAAGAGCATTATGTGCAATAAGTTGTCCAAGGGAAAAAAGTTTCTTCTAGGATTTAAGAGCTATATGTATATAGGATGTATATATCTCACATAAAATTTTCTTTTTCTTTAGAAGAAAAACAACCTTCCCCTCACCCCCAAGCTAGTCTTATAAATAGCAAAATGCTTTCAAAATTCAGTGAACAGTTTCTATACATTTACTTTGCTCACATCTTTAAGACATGAAGTTGACTGCAAAATATAACACCTTAAAACTAACTAATGATCCTATTAGTTACAGTAGACAGCCTTAAGTACATCATCAGTAGCATCCACATTAATAAAATGGTGTTTATCATGAACAATGTTGATGCAATCAGTAAATATCAAAAAAATTTATAATCATTAGGTCTGCAATTTTGAAGGGTTACCCTGTGAATCAGAGTCAAGTGTTTATACTGTGTTTCTGAAAGGCTGGAGAACTTGAATGAAGAAATAACATAGACTTGTAGCATAATTCTCCAGAACACAACCAAGGCTAAATTTGAAATAGTAAAATTTTCACTGGCAAAGTTACACAAGCAGTTAACCTGCATTTACACATGTAAATGAGTAATGGGATGGTAAAACCAATGTGTTTACATATGAATATCTAATACTAAACTGTACAATTATTTCTTCTGCAGGACTACTCTGCACACACAACAGGTGCAGGCCAAAACAAGAAACCCACATGTGAGAATATATTCACCTGAAAATATAAAAACATATTTTAGTGCCAGACCTGTTGTCTCACATCATATGGCTCTTGCTCACAGTGAGTAATATTTTACTTTGCAAACACACTATTGATCTCAATGGGAATATTTGCAGTGTGAGGAATGGAGTTCCACATCAGGCCCATATAGAGATTGACTTTGAAGCCAAAGGACAGCACCAGAGGCCAGGAGTGCTGAGAACCGCTGTCTCCTAAAGCCAGAGCATTATTTTCATTAAGAGAGAGAGATCTGGAACATACAAGGGTGTACTTCCAGGCCCTACTGATGCTGCTGCTGAGGCTTTGTCCCTTGGAGCCCTTCTGAATTCCATCATGCAGATAAATATGGGAGAGAGAGAGCATCCCCACACAGAGGTTTCAAAGTGTTTTGGCTTAGTATAAAGTGTTCTCTCTGTTGCACACTCTGAATACAGCTCAGATTCTGGACTTTAGGTTAAAGGTAATACATTTTTGATAACTTCAAGTATCCTTCTTCAGGAAAGTATCAATATGATTAATAATGGGACAAAAAAATTATTGGTATTTCACAAGTTTCTAAAATTTGGAACATTTCAAAACAATCTTAATAACTATTAATCTTTCATGCTGCTTGTTACAGTCCTTCCTCATCACTTTAATCAAAGATAAAAGGCTTGTCAAGTTAAATTTTTAGGGACATCCTGAACCTCTTTCTTTATTTGGTTTTCCTGTACCAAGGGCTGCAATATCTAGGCTGCATATCCCAGTGAGAGTGCCATGGCTTGAGAAAAAAACCACTATTTTCTGTTGATATATTGCTAGATATTGATATAATTGATATGAAAAAAATAAATGTTAGATTTTTCAAAAGCCTAATTCAACAAAACATTAAGGTTTTTGCCTCTGATGTCACTTGTTCAGATAAAATGTGTGGTGTGACCCACCAGTCAATGAAGCCTGACTTTTAAAAATACCGCCATGTCAAAATGCATTCTAGAAATTGCTTGAAAATGTCTAAATTTCCAGGCACACTTTCAGACTCTCGATAACCACTCCCTGTAATGCCATGGAGTGGGAGATATGCTTTTTATGAAAATTGTTATTGAAACATGAAGAGGAACAAAACAGCATGGAACATTCAGCTCCACAGGACCAAATCTTAATACTGGCAAACAAACTGAATGAAGGATGAAAATCTTCTCCCTTAACACTGCATCACATTTGTTACAATAGCCTCCAGACTGAAGTTGCCTGGGTGTCTCTTTCTTCCATGATATGCTTATGAGAATTGTGCTGGCTGAATTGGGACAATATGCACTTAATTATGCTAAAATAGACCTTACTCCTGCACTCTTAGAGGCTTGCTAATACACAGATTAGCTGCTGGAGAAGGGACAATATCTCAGAGGGAGCTTTTTCTAGAAAATCAATGCCTGAATCGAGAGTTCACCTCTGAGTCAGACTGACAGGATTATTCTTTGAGCAGAAATATAGTTTCTGCAGTATAAACACATACAAAGTAAAGCCTATGTATTATGTAAAATATCATGTATGACATTGAAATATTTCTCAGCCAAGAAGAACTTTTGTTGTCTCCAGTAGAAGAGTTCATTGGTAAAAAGCACAAGATTGAGGTCTATGTACTTTCTCAAGCCTTTTTCCTCCCTCAGTAACACCAGCTCTATTAAATCCTGCTCCTAGTGTTCCAAATCTTTCAATTGCATCTTACCAATGGACTAAAAGCTAGAGTTCAAACATATGAGATCTTGGTTGCATTCCTTCCCCGAGGCTGAAACATCCAAGTTTTGTTTTGCCCCATCTATGTTAAAAACCCACATACTCATATATATCTATATATATATACACACACACACACACTTGAATGCTATCTTGGCATTCAAAACTCTGTCGCAATTTAATTTACTACAACTTCCTTGGTTGGTTGTATTTTCAAGCTGGTGTTTAGTCTACTGCCAATATGATCAAGGAATATTAGTTTACCATCAAGTAGAGAAATAAAAAATATTGCTGTGTCTATAAAGTCCTCAGTCATGCCCTGTAGAAATGCCAAACTCAGATGGACCTGTACACAGCTCCATCACAAATTTAACAAAGGAAGAGCAGGAGTTCAGTAATAGTGTTTCTAAAATATTGACTCAAACTATAAGCTACATTTAAACAGAAGTTGTCCAAATATTAGCTCACTCTTCTAATCACCATGTAGCAGATGTTCTTAACAACTGCATCTTCACCAGCTAAAGGAATAAAACTGATCACATTATTTTCAACATTTCATAGAAAGAATATGAAGAATATCAGTAAGATGACTTGAAATGCTTCACCATTTTATATATATACAGCATGCTGGCATGTACTCAGCATTATGTTTAACTCTCCAGCTTATCTTGGTCTTTTTTCAAAATGCAAAGTTTCTGAATTTTCAACGCTGGTGGGCCAATTGCCAGTAACAAAAAAGCAATCTTTCAGAGTAAAAACTCTTACTAGTTTGGCAGGCATCTAAAGAAAATAAAAAAACGTAATTTTGTGGCTAGTGTGCTATTTATTTTTTTTAAATAAAGAGTACAACCAATTGAATTTGAAATAAATAATTTACATCTAGGCAATCAGCATGTACAAGCATTTCCAGCAAAGCAGAATTTAAATGGCCATGGTAACAAATGTGTCCCTAAAATGAGTTCTCTCTAAAATGGAAAGAATGGTAGGTCCTTAAATAACTACTAGTTGCTGCAATGTAGAAAGAAAACACCCCAAAAAATCTATAAATAAGAGCAAGTTAAAAACAGATGTAAGGATAAATAAGATGCACAAAAAAAAAAAAAGGGACTACTGAGTTTCCACTATTGCTATGAAAGTGAGAATTTTTCTTCTTATTTCTCCCATGTTCTTCTAATAGTAAATCACAACACATCATCCTCATCTACTGTGAACTGACGAGCCAAACTGAAAAAAGTAGTGTAGGATCTCTAGAGACTTGGCTAGCAGTCCAATTTTGCTCCCACTTAAATTGGTTGTTAAACAAAGTCAGAGCAACTCTTAACACCAGGTTTTTGAAAATGCTAAATTCTGTGCATAAATAGTGGGTAGGATCCCTTTAAATAACCAGACACGTATTCTACGGTTCTTTTAAGCTTCTGTAATTTAGAAAGTACCAGGCTCCTTCCAGAAAAGCAGCAGTGTTTGTTTGACTCAGATGATGCTGAGTGAACAAAAATTAGCTCTGAACACTGTTCCCAGAATCATGGTCCCATGGGCCAGCCACACACCTCAGCATCATTCTGCTGGATGTCCTCTTCAAAGCTGACATCATTTCAATCTCAGTGCTCCTGGATGTTTTCCACATTACCCGTGTAGTGTAATGCCTCCAAGCTATTTATCTGAATGTGAATCTGGGGAAGAAAACCTCTCTTGACTGAGATCTCTGATGTGGGATGGAGACTATAAACAGTTTGTTACCCTGTGCATCTGCTCTATGTTTTGAAAATGCTCTAAGGACTTTATCCCCAGGAGGGTTCCATACAGTTGGGCCAAATTTGCTTTCCTTTGATTTCTGCTTAAGGTGAATACAGTCTTTCCACAGAAAGATTTTTTCTTACTCTCTTTTGGAGTCTGTACAATTAACCACCAGAAGAATCCCAGGTTCCCTTGAAGAATACTCAGATTTATTCTCCATCTCATCCAAATGGCCAGGAACGTACACTTTGGTCAGAGGGCAGGGAAAAAAACCTAATCCATAGGAGCCTCAGGTTTTCTCCATACAGTAGTAATGAAGAGAGCACTAATGGATTTATTAAAGCATTCTACAAAGTCACTGTCCCTATTCATGCTAATCCACATCCAAACCAGGATACACATCTGATTCAAGGGTC